GCTCCTTTGATGAACTCTTCCAGAGACAGTTTGCCTGAAAAAAATCAGAACAGAAATGATCTTTTTATGATTCATATTTGCGTGCACAGCATAAAGCTGAAGAAGAAAGAAGCATGTATACCAAAACAGTGTGAGATAAAGTGCAACACACTGGTGGAGAAAATCCTCAAACAGGAAACGTCCCTGCATTTGTCTGTCAAGTGTGACTGTGTTGTCATTAACATTTGAAGTGAGATTATAACAGTTTCAGGGTTAATCTCTTATGCTTATTTGGTAGCATCTTTAGTTCAGAGGCTTTACAACATGAACGGTACATCCAAATATGTTCCACTTCTCACCAAAAGGTGGCAGTGTTGAGACAGGTCCTCTCTTCTCTGATCACTAACAGACAGACTAAAGCTATCTCCCCACGAGTTGCTCTCCACTTGTGATTCTCATTACAAGAAGTAAAAGACACTTCCATGCTTTAGTCATTGCGCTCTCTTGCTCTCGCGTCATCTTGCTCCCATTTTTCTCCCCTTTCCTCTCCATCACTGCCCCACCCAGCACCATCATCCATCTTTCTCTTCCTCCTGCCTTATTTGTGCCTCTCCTGTGCCGAAGGATCACGACACAGAGCGTTACCGATGCATCAGAGAGCTGCACAAGCATCCAAGTCTAACTGTGTGTGAATCTCAAGTGTGACGTAAGTGAACGGCGCTGGCAGTGCAGGGCTTCTTCGTCTCGTATTAAAGACGACTTTGGTGACAGCTAATCAGGTGGTAGTTGGATGGAATCACTCAAACAACTTTTCATCCAGAGTGATAAACATCCTAAAGCAATTATCAGTGAGAGAGATCAAAGATCAATACACAGGGAATAATAGTCTTTGTGCACTTTATAAACTAGGCTGTGTGAAGTGTGGATCATTTCATCTGCTGAAAGTTAAAACTACTGGAAGTAAATGCTACATCAGAGTACTTCCTACCGTCTCTGTTGGTGTCCATCTGCCTGAAGATCTTCTCTGTCCTCTTCTCAGGTGTCGACTCATCCTCGGGCATCTTCATCACGGACGACACCATCTTATATATCGCCTACAGAGAGACACACACAGTAAGGTCAGATGAGCCGGGTACTAATTTATGCCTTCAGCTGTAGAATCTCACACACATTTGAAAATGATTGCAGCTGACAGGCGTGATTCTGGCCGGCATGTTTCTATTGGTTGACGCGACTTTTCATTGTCGCAGCAGATCTGCTGAAACCTCTTGTCTGCTTCTGCCTGCGTGTATCTTGCGTTATGTGATTGGAGAGGTTTAGTCTCTTTTTAAAAACATTTACTGAATGCTTTATTGCTTATTTTTACTGCTGATTAAACAATGAACAGCTGAGTGTGAGGTCTGTTTTGCAGGCTGTAGATAATGTATGGAAAAAGGAGGGATTCCTGACGCAGTCTATGTGCTGAAGATTTTGACCTGTTCAGTTTTGTAAGAGATCGTCTATTCTATTTTTGTAACTAGGAGACTTTCTGGGTCATTATAAAAACTCTACTACAAAACTCAGTTTGAATAGCTCACCTGCTCTCTCTCTCTCTCCCTGCTTTTTTAAAGGTTACCACATTTGCAATTACATAATCTTACTTTTGCACACCACTAGAGTAGCTTTGCATAATTCGCAGTTCATAATAATGCTTATTTAAACTAAACATTGTGATTGGCTGTCCCTCGGACATACCCCCTGGTTTGTCCATCCA